CATTGATTGTAAAAGGTTTTCCTTAAGAGGATCCAGTTGGGATCAGTAGCTCTTGAGAAGACTAAGAACAGTTGTTCTTAGGTGTTACTATTGTAATCTGTTTGATTAAATAGTGGATTAAGTCCTTGAATGAGAAAGGCAAATCACTCTTGAGAGGGTGGACTGGAGTAGTTGAGTTCAATGAACCAGGATAAAAATAACTGTGTTTGAATCTTGGATTATTTGTCATACTTATTCAACCCCCCTTCTAAGTAATTTTCTCACCTTCAGTATTCGCACCTGTTGCTAGAATCGAAACAATCAGGTTGGTTATTGGTCTAGTAAATATGAACAACTGGCACACATGTCAGATGGACGTAAAGTGTGCATTCCTTAATGGCCCCTTAGACGAAGAAGTTTATGTTGCACAACCAGCTGGGTTTGTGAAACAAGGCGAAGAAAGAAAGGTGTACAGGCTTCATAAAGCTCTGTATGGACTTAAACAAGCTCCAAGAGCTTGGAATAAGAAAATCGACAACTTCTTAAGGGAGAAGGAATTTGTGAAGTGTACAACTGAGCATGGAGTATATGTAAGAAGAAGCAATGGCGAATTTCTTATACTATGTCTCTATGTTGATGATTTGTTGATAACAGGGAGTTGCAAGAAGGAGATCGAAGATTTCAAACATGACCTGAGTGAGGAGTTTGAAATGTCAGACTTGGGAAATCTCTCATATTTCCTTGGCATCGAATTCTACAAGACAAGTAGAGGTTTGATGATGCACCAAAGAAGATATGCAGGCGAAATACTCAAGAGATTTGAGATGCAAGATTGCAACCAAACTTCGACTCCAGCTGAGCCCAGATTGCAACTGTCGAAGGATTCAGATGAAGATGATGTCGACCCAACCTAATACAGAAGACTTATTGGGTCACTTAGATACCTTTGTCACACAAGGTCTGACTTAGCATACAGTGTTGGTATGGTAAGTAGATTCATGCAGAAGCCAAGGGTATCACACCTAGCAGCGGCGAAGAGGATACTGAGGTATCTAAAAGGAACTCTCGACTATGGCATTTTATTTCCAGCAGATGATGAAGGAAAAGAATGCAAGTTAGTGGGACACACAGACTCCAGTTGGTGTAGTGATGCTGAGGATCGAAAATCCACAGCTGGTTATGTGTTTATGTTAGGTGGTGCACCAGTTGCTTGGAATTCGAGAAAGGAACCAGTAGTGGCATTGTCATCATGCGAAGCAAAATATATAGCTGCTTCTCTTTGTGCATGTCAAGCAACTTGGATGGTGAATTTGGTCGAAGAAATCACAGAGAAGAATCATGGAGCAATTACCATGAAGATAGACAGCATGTCAGCTATCAACTTGGCAAAGAATCCAATAGCTCATGGTCGAAGCAAGCACATCGAAATGAGGTTCCATTATCTTCTAGAGCAGGTAGCAGAAGGGAAGATGAAGTTGGAACACTGCAGAACTGAGAATCAGATTGCAGATATCATGACGAAGGGAGTGCAGGTCGAAGCCTTCAGAAGACTAAGAGCCATGATGAATGTAGACAGTTTAGACACAATGAATTAGGTGGTGTGTTAAATGTAATTCATTGTTTTGATTTGATTTGATATGATTAGATTTGATTTGAATATTTTGGCCCTTTTATGTTTTGGGCTTTTGTAAACCTAAAACTATAAATAGGGTGTCTTGCTTTGTATTCAATAACAACATAACAACAGAACAGATTTCACAGTTGCAGTTAGCAAGTGAAAGTTCAATAAGAAATCTCACAGTTGTGGGTAACACATTCTCTCCAAATACTTCTTCTCTCATTCTTCTCTTTCTTGATTGTTCTTCTTTCTCTTTTGTTGTTCTTGATAATTACTTGTTATTACCATTACTATCATATTGTGGGTTTGTTCATCAATCTTGAGATCAAGATTGAAGAAAATTCTTCATAGGGTGTGAGGTGAATTTCCAACAACAACCACAGTGAAGTGGAGATTGAAATAGAAATATCAATCGTCGTGGCAAAACTCTTATAGACATTCATGTTAGCGGTGACACTAATAACAATAAAACTACATAAACTACATTCTCTTGTTTTTTTTTATGAAATATGTGAAATTGTGTTGTGTTTGTGTGCGTTTTTCTTTAGTTTAAAAGAGTTTTACAATTTTTATATTTTTACTTGTTACTTGATAGAAGAGGTTATAATATTCCAACTAAAAACAGACATATTTATCATGTCTTTAAAGGAGACAAAAGTCCAATTCTTATATATTTAGTAATTGCAAGAAAGGAAAATTCAAAATTAATTGTTAGAGACATAAGATGTTGAAATGTCAAAATTATAAGTAATTGTAAATGTAATAAATTATAAGCGATTAGTGTAGTGACAAAAAGTTTATGCTTGTATGATAAACATAGTTTCCAATAAATAAATAAAATGCATGTTTCTATGATAAACAAAGATTCTAGTAAAAGAATATAGTTTCCAAAACTAATCATTCCATGCAACTTGTGTAATCATAGATTCTAGTAAAAAAACAAATAGTAAAAAAATAGTTTCCAACAACATGTATAACCATACAAAACTTGGAAAGGCTTTTAATCTATATTTATTTTTAACTATCAAATATATAAATTGAAAAGATGTTTTTGATATTAGATGCATTATAACATTCAACCAAATTTTACTTATTATATCTATAGAGTATTTGTATTTTCAAAACAGTTTCCGATGCATTACACGTTAATCAAATCGTAGGACCTAACACACAAAACAATGCATACAAAATTTTGAGACATTAAAACGAAGAAGCTTACCAATCATAATTTCAAAAAGGCATGAGCTTGAGGTGTTCTCCTCATATAATCATTATTAATTAAACAAATTGTTTTACCGAACAAGAATTTTTCTAAAATATGATATTTATATTGATTTTTTTATATTTTAAGATAAATAAAATAATACTTGATAACGTTCTAGGGTTTTTTCTTCAGTTTTTATAAATATATGACTTAAATTTAGCTAAATATTAGTTTTGAAATTAAATAAAAAATTATTCAGAAAAATTTTATTATGTTTCATTTTTTTACAAGAGGTAACAATTATTATAAAATTTCAAGTAGCATTTACTATACAATTCATGGTTCAAATTAGTGTCATATGTATTTTTTTCGATAATCTTTAAGTAAATATGGTATAGGTCAGTGTGTCATATGTATTCTTTTTTCGATAATCTTTAAGTAAATATGGTATAGGGGTGGTAAAGGGAGCGGTCCGTTCCATTTAAGTCTGTCCAAAAGCGGGATAGATCAACTTAGGCGTCCGAGCTCAAAAGTCAAGTCCGCTCTGTTTACTAACGAGTTGGCGAGTTGGCGGGCTGACCCGTTAATTTTTTATTTTTTATTTTACAATTTGATTTACTACATAATTTTAAAAAAAACTTATTTATTAGCAAAGATGTCGACAAAAGATTTTTTTAACAACGCATAATAGAACTTCAACATGTCTTAAGTTCAAACCGTTCAAATAATAAAATAAATAAAGATCAATTACAACAATAACAAAACAAAATAAACTCAAGCACAATAAAAAAACCGTATCAAAATAAATAAATAATACATATCATCCTAATCTTATTTAAAAGTTAATTCAATAAGAATTTACAAAAGACAAACAATAATAACAATTCCACAGCATAAAACATCACTGTGCATAAAATAGTAGTATATAAAATATCAACACCTAACTTTCTCACTGTTTACATCATATAGACTCCTATATTGACTGATTCCTTAAGAATTAAATCCTTAATATGTCACACATATACACTAATCATACAATTATTCTTTTATTTCAAATTTTTTCAATCAACACATGAATTAGAAAGTTATAGAAAGAACGTTACAATTATAATTCAATTTATTTGTATAATTATTTATAATACAATTCAATCAACATAATCTTAAGAGAAGAGTATTGTTTTTATAGTTAAATTTGTTTTAATTTTAAGTAAAAGATAAAAAGTTTTAACGAAAAGTTTGCGGACAAAATCCCCTCGCTCTCTTCTGACCCGTATTTTCAAGCAGGTTATACAGGACGGACTACTTTAAAGCACCGAGCCGAAAACTTCAACCCAATACGCCAAAAATTGTGGGTCGAACTAGCCGACCCAGCGGATCCGACCCGTGTTTCCACCCCTAATATAGTATATTCACTTTAATAATTTTTATTTAAATATCTATAAATTTTTATTTGTATACTAGTAGAAGACTCGTGCGTCCGCACGGGTATGAGAAAGTATAATCTTATCGAATTCAAATTTCACAAGAAAAAGTATATTCAAATGCATATTAAGAGTAATATTTATGCAGGTTTTTATTTATTTAAATCTAACTGATGGTATCTCATTTAATTTTATGAAGTATTTCAATCACATTTTAAACATAGTGAAAAGGATGAAATACATAATCAAAATTTTAAACTTTTAATTTTTTTTAAGTAATATTTATACATGATTCATTTTTTAGAGCAATAGAGTACCATACAATTTTATGGTAAACTTGTATGTAATAAAAAGATCAAATACATCAAATTTTGAGTTATTTGACAATATTAGCAAATCCCGTATGATGAATCTCTTGTTTTTTTTTACTACAGACATAAAACCGTTACATTACATTAGTTAAATATTATCTATAATTCAAAGATATAAGCTTAAAGGAACCAATAAGTTAAATATTATCTATAAAACCGTTATATCAAAACTCAACCAAATTTCTTTATTACTTGGGTCCAAAGGAACCAATAATGCTACAAAGTTTAAGTGATAAAGTTATTACAAAAATCAAAGGTTACAAGAGAAAAGAAGGTCAAAAAATTCCACTTGATTCATAATTCAAAATACCATTACAGGACTTTTGTACAAATTGCAAGGCTTAAAATGACAAATACTTGAACTTAGAGCTAAGGATCCCATGAGCTTTCTAAGCCACAAAAATTGCTTAATACCAGTGTTCCCTACTCTTCATGACTCCAAGTTCTCTCATCTTAATGATATTTTCGTCATCATTACATAACCTACAAGAATAATCAAGGAATGGACTCAAAATCATGTATGAACAGATACCAAAATCATGTATTTTTTTATAGGGAGATCATAGTCGTGTACTGCTTCAAATTAAGATGTTATTGCTGACCCTCCAGATGTACCATATAATATATCCACTAAGAAAAACTATTGTTATCGAACATTTTCTCATTCACAACATAATACATATGAACCGTGCTATCTTGTGGTCCCTCAAGTTTATAACAACACAAGGACAATTTCTATCAAATTACATTTGTCGAGAGTCCTGAATCGGATGAGATATGGTCTGAATATATACTTATAAAGTGGAAGCATCTCTCCTCCTACAAGCCAAAATGAGTGGCCCGGAGATTTTTCCTTAAGAATTATTCCTCAATGACTAAAACAAAACATAATGAAGACTCTAATTTTGATAAACTATCAACAAACAAGAAGCCCGAATCATTGTAGCAACTAAGGGTTTTACGCAGTATAGAATTTTTAAACATAACTTTAAACAAGTGCAAAAGCATGGTCTGCTGAATGTGTAAAATTCATTATAGGATCAAAATTAAATCTTTTTGAATTTCAAAAAATAGTTGAGCTGTTGAATACACTTAAGGGTATTACAGCATTCTGATATAATTTCTGCCGATGCAAGATGCTATATACAAAAACACTGGATTTCTGTGAGTACCTGTCAAGACCCAAAACTGAGTAGTGGTGTGATAATAATGAACAATTTATGCTTCCATTTTCCCTTGGGTAATTTTTCCACTGGTCTCTGAAGGTTTGTTCAGCCTTCCAATACCAATCATCTCTTTGGAAATTCTGATGATGTGTACCAGAACCATTTTCCTTCCAGGGATTTCGTCTATACTTATTCCTTTCTCTATTAAACACGTCTTGCATACGCCTTATTCTTTCCTATAAAGACAAGATAGAAAAATTACCTAAATGACTTCATCACAAGTGATTACCACCATAATCTTAAGCGACTCTTTCACAAGTGAACATCATATTCATAAGGGACTATCATTTGTGACTTATTACATCATATTCATTAATGAGTTATCCTAAGTGATTTTATCACAAGTGATTATCATAAGGCTCAAGACAAAAAAAAAAGCCTAGCATAAACCAACCAATCAAACATCTAAGCAACAAAAAGTCCCAACTTCTTTGCATATTAGTGCAATCAACTAATACAGATTGCAGAAAAATTTGCTTCATCAGAAAAGGTTTCCCATTTTGAAAGATCACAACACTTCTTCAATCTTAAACTCTTCTAAAAGGCAATGACTATTTCCATAGAACAACAAAACTTGCAACCGCCACAAACAATAAAATCAGTATAGAGATAAGTAATTGATTAAAAAAATTCACCACTCTCTCCATCTCTTCCTCATACTCCTCTTGCAGTCGTTTATTGTACCTCTTCCACGCTTCTTCTTGAAAAGTTGTTCGAAAAGAACCGACATTCCCTCTTTCAAAGACCTGGACAGCTACAAAGAGTTCAATAATAGCAATCATGCTTAGTTTCATTCCATTTTACATCTCTTTAAAAAAAACTTAAATTTTACATACCAAACAAAAACCTGAAATTCGCAGAAAATAAGATTAGCATATATATGTTTGGTTTTGCGGTGAAAAAAATTGATTTTGAGCGGTATAATTGATTGTGGTTAAACATGAGTTGAATGTAAAGTGATTTATGCTTGGATAACTTTAAGCAAAATCAATTTCAACTTCAAATGATTTTTGTTTGGACAACTTTAAGCAAAATCAAAAGCTACAAATTTTAACTTCAGTAGAATCAATTTTTGACGCAAAATCAATTCTACCTTAGAACCAAACACCTCAAAATCAATTCTAAGAATTGCTTTTGACTCTTCCAAAAGCTAAACCAAACAAAAACCTGAAATTCACAGAATATAAGATTATATAAATAGATATATAGATATGTAATTATATATGCATGCGCCATTTCTGCTATTGAAAATGAAACGAATGTTATGAACAACACAAAAATAATCAATAAAAACGTTGATGATGATGATGATGATTTGATGTTGATAGTGATGAAATTAGAATCAAATTGATGATGTAAACCCTAAAAACACATATAAAACAGAAACAAAAAGTAGGAAAATGATTAGAAATAAAATTGAATAGTGAAGGCGTAGAACTCACGACAAAAGTGTGTGCAAAAATGAATAAATAGGTGTGACATCCTTCATATCTGTGATGATGCTCCAACATCCTTATTAGAGAAATCAGGGTTTCCTTCTATTTCTCTTTTATAATCCTTCAGGAGAGAAGTTGGTGTGACATCCTTCATATCTACGCCAAGATTTTTGTATAAAACCTGTATAACATAAGGATTTGAACAAATAGGTAAAAGAGAAATGCAACTATGACAACGCCACTTTAAGAAGGATAGGTAGTGACCTCTATGTCAAACTTGAGGTTCATTTTCAAGTTTGGCATTGAATAAATTTCAGCAAGCAATCCTAAAATGCCCATGGTCCAAGGATTAGGGGGATGATATCCAAGTATATCTTGCCAATGATAACATCTTTCAAGTGATACCTGAAAAGTTGAAATTCTCAATAAGTATATACAAGTCTCTTGCTCTTACACCTATAAAATATGAATAAGTTGATGAGAACAATATTCTCTTCATATATAAGACCTGTATAAGAGTTCAACAAAAAATATCATTGGTTCACATGCCTGCCTAATTATCTAGGATCATTACTTGGTTAAAGTAAAACTAAGTAACAGGTAAGTTAGAGTAAGAGGCCACTATAACCAAGCAAGATAAAGTAATGCGTAAATTTCATATTTCAAACTGTAAGGAGACATAAAAAGAAGAAAGCCTCCAGTCAAATTATCAATCAAAATATTCAACTTACTTGCTTTTGTTGTACTCAAATTCAATATGCAGACAATCTTCTATTCCAACTTCCATCTGTACAAGGTATAACACGTTGATAAATATATAATGAAGTGACATAACATTATAGCTTATCCCCAAAATGCAGTAAGTTTTTTTTCTCACCAAAATGAAGTGATTTGATAAAATAACATTCTACTTGATCTCCTAGACCATAAATCACAAACTTTATTTGACTGATAGAGAACCTACCACAAAATCCTGGTACTCAACTATGCTTCCTGCATAACCACGATTAATGGTCACTTTCAAGACATACCTGGAAATTGCAAATGCATAAAAACATCACATTATATCATATTCAAAAAGGGCTGGAGTTTCAATTGTTCTTAAGGAACTAAGACCAGTAGCATTTGCTAGTATTTTGAATCCATTATCCACATTAGAAATTCCTGTACCCTCGCAAGAGGTCAAAAACAAACTATATTTTACTCAGGACCCGGTTACACGAAAAAAACAGCACCATCCTGTCCCAAAGGATGGACTGAGGATGTTTCTGATCTCGACATAGATCTTTTCAGGTGCTTAATAATGAGTATTCAATCAACCTACGTGCATCCTCCACAACTTATCGGTGAAGCTTTACATGTCTACGCGTGTAGGTGGCTTCCGGACATCAGAAAGCTTAGTAAAAGTTCAGACAGCTCCAGCATCAATTGTTGAACCAACACCTAGCTATTTTATTATCATAAAAAAAAACACATCAAATTCAATTTCCAAAACACAGTTAGTATAATAAACCAAATCATGTGCTCAGAAACAGAAAACACCAGTTTCATGTTAACAACATGAAAACACAAACCAGACAATTTTCCTACGTGCCAAAACAGATTATCAAGAAACCCAGATGAAAAAAAAAAAGATAAAAATTAAAACTTTTTAAGTTGAATTGAATGAATTACCAATTGCAATAAGATGAGGAATAGTTAACTCCTGTGCAAGCAGAGGTTTAGTGTTTTTACTTGCAGAATTAACCTGCTTCTTTCTAGTGAAAAATCTCCATGAACCCTTTTGTGATGGTGAATCACCCGAAACACCCATCAAATAAAAGGGAAAATTGAGGTAATGATTGTCCCAAAAGATTAGATTTTTGAGCCCTGTTGGAACCAATCAAGTAGGAGAAAAAGTGATGTAAAGGTGATGAATTTATAAAGTGGAAAAAAACCTCGACAACAACAATTGTGTTTTTCATAGAGTTTGTCGGTGAGGTTACGCAGCATGGTCGACAGCATCACCGAGAGAGCTTCCTCCATGAAAACAGCTTCAAGAATTCTAATACAAACCAAGAAGTGATATTGCATCATAGTTATATTCATCTCAATAATGTCAATATATTTCACTTCATTATAATTAAATTTGTTTAAGGAATACAACCTGTAACTTGAACTAAATCTTTCAATCAGAAAAACAAAACCAACACGGTAGAGGATGCATAAGCATAACTCAACACATAATCAGTATTACACACATAATAATCATAGAATTTTCAACTAAATCAAAATAGAAATACAATTGATTCCCTGTATACTAAACACGCAGTGAGCCAAAGACCAAACTCCATTCACGCGAAAAACCGAATCAACGCGTAATTACCGGCAACTTTGTAGTTTTGCAAAGCAGAAAAATGAATATATATGCAGGATAACAGGAGATATATTGAGCTGAAAACATAATCAGCATAACTGCCTGTGCTATATATTGTATCATTCCAACATTGCTCTTAATACACATCAACCATTGATTTTTAACAACAAAAAAAACAGACAATGTATTAAGCAAACGAAGAAGTAGGCTATAGACAGTAAACAACATCGAGTCACAACATAAAACGGTTCAAACTTGTAACGACGTTCTCGGTTCGAAATGTTACCAAAAAGTGTGAGCTGTTAATCGGTAGCTGAACATTGCGTTGCGGTGATGCCGATGTCATTATCGTTGAAGGCAAGATGGAGGAGGTAGTTTGATGCAGAATCGAAACTCATATTAGGATCCCTGACCATGAACATCTTCACACCAAAAACATCTTCACACCAAAAAACTTTGCTAATATTGATAAGCAACTAAAATGAACATGACCATGAACATCAATCAAATTGGTTACAGAAACAAAAATATTCATAAGTAACTAAAATGAAGAAAAAGAAGATACCATGCAGTAATTAATGGTTGAAGGTGAGGGACACCGTCAGAACTCCTTTTTGCTGCTGAACTCTTGAAGAAGATGGTGAAAGTCGCGGCTGCGCTAGGGTTTACAGAGAAAATAGAGAGAAGAGAGAAAATGGTGAAATGAAGCATAAGGGAGACGAGGGAGAAGGGGGAACGTTCAGTTTAGGGTTTTTTTAGGGGAAAAAGAGGGAGAAAGTGAGGGAAAGAGGAAGACAAAGTTTTCAAAAAAAAACTTCTGCCACTTGACAAAATTAGACTATGCTTTTGGTCAAAGTTGTTGTATTTAATAAATTACCAAAAAGGACATGGTGTAGTGTTAAGTAAAAGTCATGTGAAGGGTAAATTAGTAAGATTGGTGGCATTTAATTATAATGGGTAAGTAGTTGATGTTTGAATTATTTTTTCTAATTATTTCAATGAATAAATATAAATTGTATTAGTAAATACTATGTGAATTTTATAATTGTTACCTCGTGTAAAAATTATTACCTGAAATGTCAAGAAGGAAACTATTCCAATATCTTAAATTTAATAGTTTCATATCGTATCTAAAACTTGTATCATGTCTATGTTTCATTGATAAAGAGCTCCAAAGGGTGACAATTGTTACAAAGAAACATAAATGATAAATTTATACAACCATCTTAGAATAAAATTATCTCCCGTGGACTGACTTTCCCAAACTTTACTAAGCAAACACTTGATGCATATTTAAATTAATCATGATTTGATAGAAATCACAATGGCGCTGATTTTATTGAAGCTTGAAATTGTAGTTTTTTTTTAATTTATTGTGGCATGTCTCACTTAAGAGCAAGTGAGCCACTTCAGATAAACTTCTCAATTTTCTTAAAAGATCTCTAGTTAGCTTTTCTGAATAGACACCTATGAGCTTATTTTAAGAAGCCTTTAAAAGCTAGCAGCTAATCTAAACTATACCATAATGTACTGATATTAACAAAGGCAGGACATCAAGACATCGGTTACAAGAACGTGGGTTCGGAAAGAAAAGGAAAAAAAAAAAAAGGCAGGATTGCAAAATTTTCAGATTGCACCCAACATTAATTTTTAAAATAGCATTCACCGTAACAACCTATAATAGCATTGTCATTGAGAAGTACACAATCTTCAGTGACATGTTTAAAAGTAAAACTCAATCAAATTAAGATGCAGAAATGTAAATTCAATATATGATTGAAAGATGTAACTGAAACTGAAATAAATTAATAATATAGTGTTGTAATCAATTTCTCTTGAAAAGGATGTAGCCAAACAAAAATAAAATAATCCAATACCAAAATTTGACCTGATGTGATGAGAAAAAGGCCAATGCCAACAGCTTTTGTCTCTGCCCGAAACCATGAACAAGAAGTAGCAACTTCCTCTTTACAACAAAGATGCGATTAACTGGTCTCGTTTACTTCCCAATTCTTCAGCAGAAGTGGCTATAGCTACCAATCAATCGGGAATCTCCCCTTCCTCCAATTGCTCCGTCTGCCGTATCTCAGGGAGCTGGTTAATGGCGTCAAACACATCTATTCCGTTTTCATCTTTCTTTGCAAATTCACAATCAAACTCTGGGAAGACTTGGGGATTGAATTGATACATAAGATCATAGGAATGATCTTCAAACATAAGATCTTGTTCAAAGTCGAACATCCCAGATTCAGACAATTGTAAATCCGTGTCTATGAAACATGAGGGCAAAAAATTTCTCTTAACATCTCCTTGAAACACTGGTATGTCTAATGTATAATTTGGTGCTTTCTCAAAAAGCATATTTTCAGTAAGCACTTGATGTGATGGACTTGATTCTGCATGCTTCAAAAGATCAAAAACCTTAGGATCATTAGGTGCTTTCTCGGAAGGCGTATTTTCAGTAAGCACTTGATGTGATGGACTTGATTCTGCATGCTTCAAAAGATCAAAAACCTTAGTATCATTAGGTGCTTTCTCGGAAGGCGTATTTTCAGTATGCACTTGATGTGATGGACTTGATTCTGCATGCTTCAGAAGATCAAAAACCTTAGGATCATCAAAGTTGTTGTCATCTCCAATCTCCTCTTCCCTGAACGACACACCTTCTGGTATTAGATTAACTTCACTATCTTTCTGCGGTGATTTAGGCGTACTAGGAATGACGTTCTTAATAACTTCGAAATTGATAGTGTGAGACGGCAAGAAAACAAAAACAACGGGATACTCCAAAATGACTATATTTTTCAATTGTTGTCTGATTGGTGCTTTCATATCCAATTCTTTGAAGGGTGACTTGGGACCCTACATTAACATAAATAAGATGAAATTTATAACTAAAATAATAAAGTCAATTTTGATGTAGTCAATAAATTACATAAGGGTATGTTTGGATGGAAAGTTTGGAGGACTAAATCTACATTGAACGAATAACATGGTAGATGATCATATAAGTTTCTTTTCCCATGAAAAACCCTCTATCCAAACATACCCTAAAACTCTACTAGCTTTTATACTACATTTCTACCACAAAAAGTGCAGAAAAACACCTTTGGATATTTACGAATGAAGAGCTTGAGACGATCATGGTCATCACAAAATTCCTTTAGTTGATGATTCCAAGGACCTGGTTTGAGGTGCTTCTCTAGAATGGTGCAAAAGCTTGTATCTTCATGAACTCTGGAAGAAATGAGTGTAGCATCTTTTCAAAATTGTCTTCTCTAAATTCTTAAGCATGTAACTAGATAAGGCGCATCATCTAAATGGCTTACCCATGGTCGTGCAAAACAATATTTGTCGAGTGAAAACGCCATTCTATTGTCCAATGTATAGACTTCTCCCTGAAAGTACAGCATAAAAATATTTGTAATGTATTTGAAACAAAAGCCTTCACCTCAATAATCTAAATATGAAACAATCCAATAATCCGGTGATGTCAAACGCAGATTGCAAAAAATAGTTGTATGTTCAAATTCCACTACGACACTGCGTTGTAACATCCCAATAGGGACTATTTGACAACCATTTACCAAATAGCATATCGCAGAACAATAACAATTTGTTCAGATTCCCCTATGTTATGGTGCTACTGTAGTGCTGCTATGTGACAACACTGCTGTAATCTATATCTCTCACCAGCATTAATGCATTAAGAAAAAGCTGCAGCTCAATAAAAATTAAATAAATCCAAGCTGAAGGCCATCACTTTTTGTGTATACATATCATGTATACAGGAAAAGTTCAAAAGTAAACAAGTAAATAATAGTAACAAGTTGCATACAAAAGAAAGATGATAATACCTATTGTCAAATCGAGAATGATTATTCTCTCTTTTTGACATTCCATTAGGGAGAAACAATAGTTTTGTGCTCCGGCTTCCAGCAGCATGTCGCAGGCTTTTGAGGTGATTAGGCAACTTAAAATATGTAGACACACCTAACTTTGTTCTCGTTTTTGAAGCAACTTCAGCCACTCTCTTCACTTCCTCCAGCAAATTATAATCTACATGGAGGACAGAACAACAAGCAGCATGGAAAATTAAAAAAAGTAAAATTCAAATGAGCTATAAATAAAATAATCCAAAAAAGAACATTGAATTTAAGATAAAAAGTACTTATGCAAATTATCCAAGGAACCCAAAATGAATGGTCCTTTCCCTTATTTCCAAGGATAACACAAACAAGAAGAATAAGTCCATTCAGTCCAACTAAGAAAAAGCCTATAAAGGTAAAAACCGTGTAATGCTTACTACAAGGATACCTGATACCACACAGACACTAATACCTAGACACCAATAACAATTTTAAAAAATGAGTGATCAAAGGTAAAAACATGTGTTGATTTGGTGTCAAACATTGGACATTCCTTCAATATGAAGTGTTGATTTGGTGTCAAACATTGGACATTCCTTCAATATGAAGTGCCTGTGTTGCATAAACGTTCTCAAAATCAAAGGTATAACATAACACAAAGCTTAAAGAGTAAGTACCAGATAACAAGATATTGTCATCAAACTGTGAAATAGGAACAAACTGAGTCTGGTTCCTCTTGCCATTACACCCGGTCCGAGCTTTGTGAGCTTTTACACAAGGAAGACTGCACGATTGTATCGAGCAACCCGGACACTTGTACTTTGAGGGGTTAGATTTGCATTCTTCACATTGGATTAGTACTTTGGGAATGGTTCTATTTGAAACATTCTCTATTTGTTCTTCTCTTTGGGATAAAGCAGCAGTCATGTTTACGCTTATAAGCAAAAAAAAACCTCTTTCAAAGCGGATTGATGTGAATAAATTCAAATTCAATTTGTTTCACACAACAAGAATCATCACACTGCAGAAGCAACCAACACATTATTACATCACTACTTTTCAAACGCAGAACATACCAATGGTTGATTCCAAATTAAAAGAGTGAAACGTGAAATTGCAAAACCTAATTACCTATTATTGAAACACTGAAAAAGCATCTATATCTTGATTTAATTATAAGAGAGTTGCAATATGAAAGTTTTTTAAACAGTAGGCCTAGTTGGTAGTTAATCACGGCGGCGGTGCTGCCGCTGCAGAGATGACAGGTGCAGCGCTTGCGGCTGCTTCGTGCATTTCACGAAAACAACACGGCGCGACTCGCTGAAATCGCGGAGTTTCGCGCTCGCTAAAATGAAGATTTAAAAGAACAAAAAAACTTTTAAAATAAAATGAAAAGAGAAAAAGATGAAATTTCTTCTCACAGTTTCTGATGGGCGCCGTCTAATTTCGGCGGCGTTTCCGTCGAGGTTTTGGTTTTTGCAAAAAGTTGGGTTGGGGGCATCAGCAAGTTGTTCTGATACAACAAGGGCAATGCGGTAGTGATTATGGGGATTGAGTGACTTATTTTTATTCCCATCATTACCTTTTATAAATATTTTAATTATTTTTTTAAAAAATTTACCAGTTTTTAATTTGAGTTATATATATATATATATATATATATATATATATATATATATATATATATATATATATATATATATATATATATATATATATATATATATATATATATATATATATATATATATATATATATATATATATATATATATATATATATATATATATATATATATATATATATATATATATATATATATATATATATATATATATATATATATATATATATATATATATATATATATATATATATATATATATATATATATATATATATATATATATATATATATATATATATATATATATATATATATATATATATATATATATATATATATATATATATATATATATATATATATATATATATATATATGTTAAGTTTAGGGTGAGGGTTCAATTAAATTTTTATTCCAGTGAAATTTCAAACAATAACCCATAGATTAAATGGATGGTTTAGATTTAATATAATTAAAATGAGAACATGTAAAATCAATTACAGCTAATTTTTTTTACACAAATATTGTAATATTTTTACTTTTTGTATAAAAAAAAATTCTGTAACAATTTGTTTCATTCTAATTCAGAACTTCATCATCTTCATTATTTTTCATAATAATTAAAAAAACACTTTGTCTCAAAAGCTACAACTTGCAACACAGAAACAAGGTTTTACAATTTTCTCTGTATTGAAAATTTTCTAAGGTTTCAATTACAGACGCTAATTGGACCGCCGACTTCACAAGACGGTTGGCCGGCGAGGTCGTCAGAGAGAATTCTGAGGCTGAGACTCATTCAATCAAAACCAAGAAAAAAAAATTCGGTAAAGTTTCTAGTTCTATAATAATTATTATTATTCTCTTTTAGTTTTGATCATGGGCTCTTTTTTCAGTTCAGATTCATGTGAATTGAATGCGTTTTTTGTATTTGTGGATTATAATAATGATAATGTTTTTATATTCATGATGTTGATATTTGATTTTGATTGTGTTGAATTTCACTGGTATTGTTCTGATATTTTGCAATTTGCAATATCATAATCTCTCACTCTGAGATTGAAAATTTAACGAGAGATTAGGAAGCAAATCATCTACGCACATTTCGCTAGCTGCTAGGTACTACATACTGTTTTTTCTACTTGTTCATTGATTACCACTTTTAACCTGGTTTTTGTTTTTAATTTAATTTGAAAAATTCTGAGTTTTAACTTGTTGGTGGTTTTGATTTTTAAATGCTATTAGTTGAGTCAGTCCATATTGATTCTTATGAAAAGTAGTTGAGTTTGATGTGTGACTGATTTGAACCTAGTTTGTTATTTTGGTTTGGTTTATGATTTTAGTGTGCCACTTAAGTTCCAGTTTTGAAAAGTTCAATTTTATAAATATTCAAAAAACTTATTTGATTTGCATTTAGTAGATTGTTATAGCATATACTCAAAGGTAAATACTGAATATTAAGAATGGTAACCTTTTTTTAAGGATCTACTAGTACTAAGCCACATGATTTTTAGATTTTTAATATTTTTTCCGTTCAAACTAACTCTTTGAAAAGCTTAAAAGGGGTCTAACAAGTTAACCACATGTTGTTAACTATGTAGATTTTTTTTATTAAGAATTGATTCTTATTCAAGTTATTCACATGTGTTGTTATATGTGGGGATTTTTTTATTAAGAATTGATTCTTATTATAAGAATATAAAAAGAACCGTCCTTCTGCGTGAAGCTTGTAGTCATATGTCGGATGCTTGTGTTTTTTTCTTTGAGTATTGAACCAATTATATGTGTGTTTATTTCTTGAGTATTTAAATTTATTTCCAAGATTACCCATTAATAAAAAAAATAGTCCTCTTCAAAACTGCTTGTAAGTTGTAAGTTAAACCAATAGCATTCTAAAAATAAGTAACTTGACAAAATGAGTTTCGTCTTTTGTTTCTTTGATAGGATTATGGGGTATCATCCTATTGTTGGATTACAGGAAGATCATGGGTGACTATAGCTTGCAAGAAAGCGTTAATGTTCAAACAGGGTTGAAAATGATTCCTAAGTTGTGTCTAACAGAGGGTTTTGATATGTTTCCACCTCTGCTAGTCAATTATGGATCTTGCATGATAGACAGGCGTATGTGAATTCACGGGCACCCCCTTGAAATCCATGTAAGCATAACTACCCTATGTTTTCTCATTCTTATATGTTCTGTACTAAGTGCATTATGGATTTGAAAATTATTTTGTTTTGTGATCTGTTCTATTTAGAATTGGAAAGGAAAACCCCATCGCTTGATAATTTTGATTTTCCCCTTCATTTGTTGTCGAAAAATAGGCAGGAATATATCGTGCTTATTGTGGGTTGCCGAGAACATTGACCACCTTTTTGTCATATGTTCTTATGCTTCATTTGTGATCTGTTCTATTTAGAATTATTGTTAGATCATGGTCTCAAGTAAGTTTCTTTTCATAATCATGTTTTTTATCTTATCTATGTTTCCTACACTTTGTTTTAGGATTTTGTTTATGGGACAAGACAAGTTATAGAATGTTTCAAGGATCTAACAATAATTTATGTTACATTATTGCTATTTTTTTATGTATAGGGTTGTGACATATTACATGGCACCTTTAGTTGAATCATTAGAGCAAATTGGTTACATAGATGGTGAAAATCTGCTTGTAGCTCCTTATGATTTTCGATATGGTTTAGCAACGGCAGGTCATCCATCTCGAGTAGGTTCGAAATTAAATGGTTTAAGGAGTTTGGTAGAAGAAACAAGCAATTCCTATGGAGGAAAACCAGTGATACTTGTTTCACATAGCTTAGGAGGTTTATATGTTCTCGAACTCCTTAATCGAAACCCGACTTCTTGGCGAAAAAAGTTTGTTAAACATTTTATAGCACTTTTGCTCCATGGTGTGGAACTGTTAATGAAATGTTCACTTTTGCTTCGAGGAATTTTTTGGGGGTGCCATTAGTAAACCCTTTGATAGTGAGAAATGAACAGAGAAGTTCTAAGAGTAATTTGTGGCTTTTGCCTAATCCTAAGATGTTTGATGTTGAAAAACCATTAGTTACTACTCTGAATAGAAGCTATTCAGCTCATGACATGGTTGGTTTTTCTCAAAGATATTGGTTATCCTAAAAGAGTTTACCCTTATGAAACTCGAATTTTGCCGTTGATAGCAAAGATAGAAGCACCAGAAGTGGATGTAACTTGTATTGTTGGGGAGGGTGTGAGGACTCCTGAGGAATTATTTTATAGGAATGGTGATTTTGGTGAAGTGTCGGAGTTTTTGTATGGTGATGGCGATGAAACTGTGAATATGGTGAGCTTGTTGGCACTTGAAAAATTATGAAAATATGAGAAGAATCAGTATTTGAAAGTGATTAAGATTGAAGGGGTGTCTCATACTTCAGTATTGAAAGATAAAGTTGCACTTGATGAAATAGTTTGTGAGATTAGTAGAATTAATTCTAATGTTCAAATTGGTTTGAGTAATGTTTCTTTTTCTATTTATGATGCGAAATGATTACAAACATGTGTATACAGTTTAGTATAACATCCCCATGTTTTGGAGTTCCTTGCCATGTTGTCTTTATGTTATCTCTTTTAATATTACAAGGGTTGCAGGCAACTTCATAAATGATTCATATGGTTCCTTATTGCCTAATTTTCAACTTGGGTTATCTGAGTTATTATCATGCATATTGAATATTACATCTCCCAATTTTGTAGTTTCTTGCCTAGTTGTTTTATATCTACACGATATAGGGTAACACTAACAAATTTATTATTGATTTGTATGGTTTCTTATATGGATTTGGCCTGACATAGCTTGTTTTTTCCAGCTCAATACAAATTGGTTTTTGCCTGCCAAGGCATATCTCAAGCGAACACTGACCCAGAAGTTGATTTCCGAACTTACGAAAAACCATGGTTCACGTGAAATCTCGTCCCCAGACGGTAGATCATGATTGTTGTACTAAGGATATGAGTGCCCTACTTTCCAACTCCAATATATCAGGGCATTCCTTTTGTGGAAAAAATTTCAAAGAGGTGCTCGTTGCATGTTATTTTTCTTTTAACTTAGTTTATAGAATATATATACTTTAGAGTTCCAAAGTTGTGAAGGTCTACAAATTATGTATTTAATATTTGGTTAACTGAGTTCACACAAGAAGTATCAAAATCGAAGTGAACTCTTGTAGAACTGAGGCTTGATTGAGTTTCTTTCTTCATGCTTTTCAGCTTTTTGAGCACTTGTAGAAATCGTACAACACTTAAATATCTATTAGGATGTTTTGAAC